TGTGAGCTGAACCGAGCATGGATAAGGGGCCTCAGTGGGATACTGGAGCCCTACAGTTGTTAGCTGCCTTGGAGAAAGAGATTCTGGCCAGGTTCTCAGACCCAGCAGTGCCCTTTATAACTCAAATAAGAGAGAGAGACCTTGCTGGGAGAACACGTTGCCATGGAAATACAAATTAGATTTTTTGATTTTTCCCATCCTATTATATAATCAGAAAAAGACTCAGAATAGACACTAATAATCCAGCAGAATTTTCCTCTGTTGAAGCCCCTTCAGTTTGCCAGGTAGAAATTTCAGAGATGTGAGATTTTTCTCTGAAGGCTGAATTCAACTAGGAAAGATGCAAAAAAGTCCCCTAACTTGTGCACAAATGCACACATACTTTTTTTGTTAAAATAAAATGAAATACAATGGGCCGGCCCGTGGCTCACTCGGGAGAGTGTGGTGCTGATAATACCAAGGCCACGGGTTCAGATCCTAATAGGGATGGCCGGTTAGCTCACTGGCTGAGCGTGGTGCTGACAACACCAAGCCAAGGGTTAAGATCCTCTTACTGGTCCTCTTTTTTTTTTAAAAAAAATAATCAAATCAAATAAAAGGAAATAAAAAACATAAGAAAGCATGAGAAAGGTGACTTTGAAATTAATGTTAATGTTTGAATTATAACCCAGGACCTTATTTTTGGTCCTAAAGCCCCTCAGTGTGGGGACTTCAATACTTTTAAGGACTTTCCTTTTAAAACTGTTGAATCTTAAACTCTAGCATGCATCAAAATCACCAGAAGATTTGTTAAAACACACATTGCTGGGTCCTATCCCTAGAGTTTCTGATTTAGTAGATTTGGAATGGGGTCTGAGAATTTCATTTCTAACAACTTCCCAGATACTGCTGATGCTGCTGGTCTGGAACCACACTTTGAGAACCACCACTCTAAGAAATGAAAGGGTTGAATCCAGAACTAGGGGCTCATTTACTTTCATGAGCACCCTTGTCATAGAAAAATTCTCCATGGAATAATCATTTAGAAAAATGGCTGAAACATCTAACTGGAAGGATCCAGTATACATCGGTTTAATATTCAACTGTCTTGGTCTCCCTGAAGCTTCCAAATTTCAATTGGTTTCCTCACTTCAAGGCTATAGCACCTTGCAGTTTACTTCCACCTTTCCCAGGATCTATGGCTGGCAGTGCTTGCTTCCAGGGCAAGGCTGAGCAGCACACACACATGCACCTTGGGCAGTGGGGAGAGCCAAACTGGTGGCCCCATGTATCTCTGATCAGGTTGAGGAATCATGAATATAAGGCTCATTCAATTATAAAGGGCAGTATCTTCAGGCTTTGGCCTTTTGGGACAGTGCCCCTAAGACCATTTTATTACACATGGCCTCACTGGAGCTATAAACTAGAACTCATGAGCTGTTATTACAGTCATCATAAGGGTATTTCAGTATTCCCTTGGTATATCTCTCTCCATTAATAAGCCCTCTACAAAAGCACATTTTTTCATTCCATCAGGAGGGTTGGCTTAAGGAGTCTACTCCCTAGCTTCAGCTTAGCTAATGGCCAGGATTAAGGAAAGAAAATATAAATTACGATGAGGAGCTGCATTTGGTGATCTGGGTTACTCCAGCACTTGAGCCCTGTGTGAAATGTGTGATTAGGACAACTTCCCCTCCCAAACACCTTGCAATAAAGAACCCTTAAGGTCTTGGTCTCATGTAGGTATCTCCTTGATCCTGGTTTGTAGGACTGAGTCCCGTTCGGTCAGGCAAATTTCTCCTATATAGTGTTTATATGGTGCCATCCCAGGTGATGAAGTGAGGCATCTGTGAGCAGCATCAGGCTACCACTTCTCTCCCTTCTTTTTTGGAATACTACAGGAAAGAGTTACTGCTCAGACCACTGTAAAAGGGGATCCCTCTGAAACATGTGACCCTCGTGTCTCAGGGAGTTGGAGGTGAAGAGATAGTGAGATTAGAGTCCACTTCAGATCTTGCAAACCAGAAAACCAAAAGGCAAGAAATGAAAAGAAAAAAAAAAACATGATTTTGTCCTAAGTCCTTAAGGAGAATGGATAGCTTAGTTGGAAGGTTGGTAATTGAAGACCAAAACATAGTATACCAACCAATAAGGACTTCATTGTAGGGTTTCTCCATGATTTTTAGCAAATTCTTCTTCCCTGCCAGCATCTACCTTCCCAATGGTTAGACTACATAAAAGAGACGTTGGTATAAGGACTTACACAAAGACAGAGATAAGCACCGTAGAGCTGCCCCAAAGCATTAGGTTTTAAAAAAATACTCCATGAAGCCTCAGAAGATAGGAAACAGCAACAGCAAACTGCTCCTTTGTGTGTGTGAGATACACACACACACACACACACACACACACACACACACACAGACATCAGGTCCCATATTAGCCTCCAATTACCTAGTATTTTATTTTTAGTGCCTAGGCAGGGACTGGGAAATAAATGCATTGGACAAAACTGGTTGGTCTTCTTCATCCAGAAATGAGAGGACTCTGCTGAGGAACCTCTCCTAGAGCTGTGGCTCGCCCCATCAGTTGATGTTGGGTATTGAACCATGTCATTTACTAGCCAACTTTGGTGAGCGATGGAGTTGGAGAGCTGGAGAGGAAGGGAACAGCACAAATTCCAGTATTAGACAAGCTGGATTCTTCTGAAGGTGCCTGGTTGTTGAGAATTTAGCTAGGGGACCCAGTTTTTTCATTTTGAGGGATCCCAGTAGTTTCAACTAAGAAGCAGGTGTGTAGGTAGGAGAGAGACCTGTGGATTTGCTCCTTGCCATTAATTCTAGGGCAGTGAGGAGGGAGCTCAGATTTTCTGCTTCAGAGAAGTCTGGATGAGCATCCCAAGGGGTTATAGCACCAGAGGAGGCTCAACCTTCTGCAGTTGCCACAGAACCATGATTCCTTTATGAGATGATTGACCCCCACAGTGAGGGGCCCAGATGTACAACTGTAAATGGGTCCTGAGCTCCAGAGGAAAGCTGAGGCTTCAACCCCACCTCACTAGATGGGAACACACTTTCTGGAGGAAAGCAATTGGAGACCTGGGCTAAATGCAGCAGTTGACTTGAGAGTAAAGGGTAGTGAATCCCAGAAATAGTGTAGTGTGAGAGGCCTCCAGAATCAACCTGCTGAGGATCCAGATAAAATTCACGGTGGTATCCATGGTTACCAGAGAGACAAGAATCCCTTTAGGGTCTGAGGCAGTTGGAATGGAAGAAGGGGTTCTCCCCTCTCCTTTTTCTTAAGTAGCCAGTAACATCCATGATAGAAGGCACTGGCTGGGCAGCACCAGAAAATAGAGAGTTAAGGGCTCTACCATTAGATTAAGATGTTATTAAAAGTCTGAGCCTTGCCACAGGACTGGAGCTTAGGAGGGTTCAGAAGGGGCCTAGGTCCCAAGCAGGCCCTTTTGGTCTTCCCTTCCTTTTAAGTAAGAACAACCAGCTCTGGAGCCTCCTCATTCTGCACAGCAGAGACCTTAAGGCAGTGATTTCAGCACCATCCTGGGACAAACAGCTTCTTCCCACCACAGAATTGCATATTTTACAGCTGAATTGGTTGGGGATCTTCACAGCTCATGGAATTAGCAGCAATAGCAATCATAGTCTTCAGCATAAAGGACCCTGTCATCCCTGTGAGCTACCAGGTGAATGCAGAAACTTTGTTGGGGGCAATCTGGATGATTTTGTGGACCTAAATGAGAATATTCTGATATGAAGATTCAGATGTATCTACTCCTTGGTTGGGTGGAATGGAATGATCCAAGATAGTATGCCTATAGACTCTGATAAATTCCTGTGCTACTTAGGAATCTAAAGAACAAACACTTAAGCCAAGACTCATCACATATCCCTGATCTGCAGAGCCCTGAAACTTCAGCCTACCAGGCAGCTCAGCTGGGAATCTGGTCCCACAGGGGCTTTCAGAAATGGCAGGAAGTAGACTGCCCACCCAGACAAGAAAGACTCCATAGTTCTTCTGGCTCCATCTTAATTGATCCAAGATCTTCTGTCCCCAATGTATTGGACATCTAATCAAAGGCTTCTTTCTAGCTGGCTCCTTGGGTTTCAGCTGTATTTCTTAGATGATCTTGAAGGTCTAGATAGTAAGGGGTGAGCACTTAATGGAGGTTAACAATTCCTTCTAGACTGTGAACTGAATGACCCAATTCTTGTCTGTTTTTTTTCTTCTTAAACTTAGTGATTGGTCTGCAATAAGTACTCAGTAAATGCTTATCAAATGAAGGAACACAAACTGCCAGACCTTCAGGGCAATAGAAAAGAGGCAACTTCTGCAAAAGGTGGGATCCCTTTAGAAGGCTGATATTGGCCATCAAATCCAATTCCTTGAGCTTTATATTCTGATTGGGAGTATCTCACATGGATATCCAGCCTCTTATAAGTGAATATTCTCCTGTCAAAAAAACAAAAATAGTAAGGACCAGCTAGGGAATTTGGGTTCAGTCAGGCAAAATGCCTACCATAAGAATAGTGCACTAAGGGGCCAAACAGGCCACAGAGAGAGGAATATTTCCAATTCCCTTGTTTTCCTCCAGTCCATGATGAAGCTCAGAGTAGATCTTCTATCAAGATGGGGCTATATCCTCTCATGCCAGAGGCTGGCAAGCCGAGCTTCCAGTCAGAACGTGTGCTTTTTCAAAAGTCAAGGGAACTGGGTTCCTCATCTCTCACTACTTCTGAACCAGTGCATGTCTAAATATAAGCCTCAAGGATGTCAGAAGTAGTAGGATAGCTGGTATCTAGCTGGTGTCAGTTAGATGGCATCAGATTCTCCAAAGAAAACCCTCTTGGAAAAGCCAAACTAGCCCCTGGGAAAGCAACCCAAGCATCTCATGGACTTGTGAGGAAATGGAAAAAAGAAAAGGAAAAAAAAAAAAAGAAAGAAAAAAGAAAAAGAGATAGGTAAATTGGAAAAAAACCCAGAAACAAAATAGAAAATAAAAATTAAAAATTAAAAAAGTAGGGTTTATTGGCTCTCATGCTTTGTTAAATTAAAGGGTAGAAAGATAGATCTAGTCATCTTTCTCTAAAGGCCATAATGTTATTTTTGTGGTTTGGCGACTTCTTAGATTGGCAGACGTCAATGTCCCCTATGTCATCCACAGGGCAGGAGCGGGCAGCTCTCTTTCTACCTTGGCAACTGGTTTCCCTCTCTCCAGCTTCATCTTTTCCATTGTGTTTTTTTCTTTTACCATTTAAAGATTGAGTTAGACATTTTTTAAACCACATGCTTCTTTTTCTGGGCTTCAGCCAGATCTCTGGGGGAAGAGTTGTTGGCAGTGGTGACAAAATGGGGAAGGGTCTGCAAGAAAATCTGGGGAGCTTCCTGCCTCCCTCAGATTTCCCCACACGTGACTGTCTCTCTCAGAGTCGTTTGTGAGAATCAGTTTAGGAACTGTTGCAGAGTTTTCTGACATCTTCTGAACTCTTCTCCAGAACGCCCACGAGTTTGTAATTGAGACAAGGAAAAGACCCAGGATCATCTTTTCCCCAAAGTCACGAAAAGAGGCCAGAAAATGTATTTTAGGGACACAAGCTCCCAAACTCCACCCCACCAGTCCTTACTAGGAAGTTCTCAAAGGTGCAGCACCAAGAACCCACCCCTTCTCTTTCACCTCCTCCTCTCTCCTGTTCTCCTTCTGGGGCTGGAGAGCCAAGTGCTCTGAAAGAAGAGAGGGGAGAGGAGGAGCTGACGTAGCTGATGCCAGCACTCTGCTGTCACTGTCCTGGGGTGACAGTGACTGCTGGACCCTCAGAGTGTTGCCTGGAGGTTGGGGTCCAGGATGGTTTCTCGATCTGGAGACTCAATGTAGTTGGCAGCTTCTTGAAGTTTCAGCAGCATGGCCATCTAAAGAGGAGCCAAAAGATGGATTAATGAGAGATGGGACTCTGGGTCTTTCCCACAGAAGGGAAACATAAGAAAAAAATCTAGATCATAGGTCTGATCCTTAGTTTGTAAATGATTAAGAGTTCATTAAAAATCAGGGATGATTGCTTCAGCCCTGTGTGTAAGCATGTGATGTGTAATAGTCACTTGGGAATATCTCTGCTATACAAGGCGCCATGCTGTGATGTGTGACGGAATACCTTACAGAGCAAGACCACTTCTGTCTGCAAGGTGCTTGTACTCCAGGAGAGGACAGAAGCCCATACATACCAGCTAATGCTGGGAGGAACGTGAGAAATGTTGTAAGAATGTCTTGTCTCTGATAATATCCTCTTCTTCTTTTTTTTTTTTTTTTTTTAAAGATGACCGGTAAGGGGATCTCAATCCTTGACTTGGTGTTGTCAGCACCACGCTCAACCAGTGAGCTAACCGGCCATCCCTATATGGGATCCGAACCCGTGGCCTTGGTGTTACCAGCACTGCACTCTACCGAGTGAGCCACAGGCCGGCCCCTGATAATTTCCTCTTCTAATAGATCACAACCCAACAGCTAGACTCAGTGTTACTATTAATCTGTCTCTCCCCAGCTCACAAATCCTATTGCTTTGTGTCAAGTCTAAACATCTCAGTGTATTCACTGCCTTCTCTTGACCTACTTTTCCCCTTTCATACTTAAAGATTGGGACCCTCCATTACAGCTAAGTAAGCCTGGTTAGTTCTCTACTGAACATGCCTTCCCTCTTCTCTTCTATTTACATGATTATTATTTTTACAAAGATAACAATTGTTTTCAAAAAAGTCAGAACTTAAATAAAATGTATTATGACTAAATTGGAAGAATTTTATACTTGAAATATAAAATTGCAAGGTCATAAGATATGTGCATGTATTAAGTTTAAATACAATCTGCCAAATTATTCACCAAAATGGTTTTACCAAGAAACACTTGCACCAGTAGGGCATGAATGCTGGGCTTCTACACACACTATTTTTGCCAATGTGAAGTGGTACCTCCTTGTTTTTTAAGAAAATTTTTATTGAATCAAAATTGATTATACATATTTTGGGGGTTCAACATTGAGATATGTTGATCAAATCAATATTACTAGCATATATATTGTTACAAATTGTAATTATTCTTTATGCCCCTTGTCTAATCCCGCCCCATCCCCCTTCCTCTCCCCTTCCCTCCTCTAATCACCCTAGATTTCTTCTCACCCTCTGAAAGAATAATGGTTACTCTGTTGATTTGCTGCCCAAATGATCT